TTACAAATTATTTCAATATTTGAGATGAATTACAATCATCCTACTTACAATTTGTTAACATTTTAAGACTTCTGAAMGAYTGATTTAAGACATTTTAAGGCTAATTAAGGCCTTATYTTTGGATTGATGAATTCAATGACTTTTAAGACTTTTTAAGGATCTGYAGGAACCCTGTTCTATTGTTAATGTATTATTTGCATTAAGCTGGTAACATTAGGTAAGGTTAGATAGGTTTACATTGACTTTTATTGTACGAAAACAACCAACGCTTTTTAACGTTGAGGCGCGCTGACCGTGGTTTTGTCGGCGTTGACGGGAACGTCATACATCTCGTTGAGGTGGTTGTCCAGCAGGCTTTGCTGGGAGTGGGCCTGGATGATCTGGCTCAGTGTTTTCCTGCTCAGCTGCTTCGGGGGCAGAGCTGGAGGTTGGCCATCTATCCCATCTGGAGACCTGAGGAAAAGGGAAGAAAAGTCTGAAACTCTCAATCTGATTTAAAAAAAGAGGCCGTTTGTTGTCAAGCGTTTATATTAGCTCTTTGCTTCTAATATTTATGTCCAACTGGAGCACAAAACATGTAACAGCCTCGTCTATAAGTCATCACAAATGCTTCCTAATCTGAACATTTGGTCTTTTTAACTGTGCGCTAGAAATGTGATATTATTTTATCTGAATAAGAAAGAGTGAAACACAAAGAAAACATATTAGATCATATAAAAAACACAGCTGGGCACTGTCAGTCACGACGCATTAACCTCAATAAAAAGGCAGCCAGGAGAAGGAAAACACCCGTGTCCATCATCCAGACAGTAAAAACCAGTCGGTGCGCATGAGGAAACATTACGCTCTGTTATGGTTTTCATGGGTAAAAGCCTGCGGTCGTGCGTGCGCCTGTGAGCGAAAGGCTACGAAGCGGCATTCCTCGGGGGTTGGGTGGGGGGGGCATCAGTCAAAGAGCATTGCCTTTGTTTTGGCTGCGGCAACTGGTGCCACTTTGTATCTTAAGCAGACGCACACCAAACGAACATTTACTGCGGGTCAGAACCAGGTCAGGCCGAGACGGAGCTCAGCCTCCTCCTTCACTCTGCTACACAACACACGTGTAACGGATACGCAAACATCTTCACACCTTATGCTAACATATAAAAGGCACGCAAACAAGAAGAGTTACGCAACGTGCACACAAGACGACTCTCAGGTTACAGAATCAGAGGCAGAAAAAAGTAAAAAAGATCTTAAATGGTTGCATACTTTTTAAAACACCATGTTTAGTGTAAACTCATCAAGTCACATTAAATAAAAAAACAGACCATTGTTCTGATGGACAGCAGTTGAAGGGCAGGTATTTCACTTTACACAACTAAAAACAAATTATGCAGAGTTTTAATGAGTTTTATTGTTTGAGAGAGAAAAAATCCCTTAAGAGTGGAGAAAATGCAAATCGACTAAGAAGGCAAATATGACGCCGTCGTTAACGTTAGCATCTTGAGGTTTTCATGAAATGAAAAAAATGGTACGGTAGATTTGATTCTGCTGCAAAGACGTTACAGAATAATCTGGATTAGAACCGGATCCAAACTTTTAGATCATTAAAAAGATGGAGGACAGAATCCAGAGTCACTGTTGATTCAAAGATAAACTTTATGGTTTGTTTCTAGTAATATGTAAACTAGTCAAAGAGTTCTGTCAACAAAAAAGCAGGCTGAGGTGGGTAGAGTACCCAAAAATTGTACTCAAGTAAGAGTATCACTACTTCAACATATTTTTACTCAAGTAAAAGTAAAAAGTAGCCATTTAAGAAATGAAGAAATTACTAAAAAAAAAAAAAAGAGTAAAAATAGTATTTGATAAAACTACTCAAGTACTGAGTATCTGATCAAGACATAAATCATTAAATCATTAAATTTACATCATCAGACGAAACAAACATAAAGCTATGTGGATGAAAATAATTCATTTAAATAACATAACAAATTTGGGTAAATAAACATATTTCCAAAATTAATTTCTTTGAAGATAAAATTTATGAAACAAAAACTGCTACTAAAGTAAATGTAACTAATTATTACCCAACTCTGAGACCAGGTCCAGTAGTACACTAATTATCTTTTGTCATTTATGGTTAAAAGATAAATAAAACCTGCTTTATAAATCATCAATATAAAAACACAGTTTTTATTTTTGCATTATGTTTTACTACTTGCAGAAGTGAATCATTGGAAAGCTGTCTGCAGGAGTTGTTAGAGCAGAAAATGTCAGGTTTTAGGAACGTACAATTGTGGAGCGTGCATGGAAAACGTGCGTTAGAAAGAAGAAACGCAGCAGGTGATGATGTCATTTTGTGGATCCAAAACAGCGCTTTGTGAAATGYTGCGTTAAAACGTCTCTGCTCCTCTCAGCATCTTCAGACGTAAAGCAGAAACGTGGGACTTTAAAGAACTTCAGCAGATATTTAGTGTGCGAGCAGTTTGAAGATGTGCAGCGAGCGGTTCTGGTTCAGACCTGAGGTCCGACCGCTCCACCCTGCCACGCCTCTGTAAACACTTTTTATGGACCTTCTTTCAAAGCACTCGGCTTTCTGATGCCACCAGCTAAGTGACACTGGGAGAGGGTGTGAACTGTCGGGAGAAGCCACAGACACCGAAATACGTTTAAGGAAATAAAAATAAAACCGTCCCCACGCCAGAACAGACAGACTGAGTAACGCGGACGAGGAAAATCTAACAGCTAAATTAAAGGGTGGCTGTTCAGCAGAGGGTTTTTTTTTTTATGTACGAAGCAGGAAAATTATGATCTAACAACGATCTGTCAAGTCAAAAGCTGATGTTTTTTTTCCAAATGAGAAAGAACTTTTTAAGTGAAAGACCAAAACCAGTTGCGATGTTCATGGGAATGATAGCTGAGCTGCAGTGGTGGGCACCAGCCCACTAAGGCGCAAATCCGCTAATTGCGGACCTAAATATTTCATTTACGCTTTAACGGTCTTACTAATTTTTATAAGTCATAAACGGATTTGCTCTTTCTAAAATTAAAATACAGTACCGCTAATAACTAATTATCTACCAGTCATCATTATCTTGAACAGCAGAAGTTATGGCTGTCAATAAATCACAACACACGTGATCTATCCAACAACACCCCTCCCAGATAAACACACTTATTGAGAAGGTAAACATCTTTGCTGAGTATTGCTTTGGGTCACGGTTCTGATTTCCCACAATGCTTTGTGTGTGTGCTTACGTAGCAGGAAGGCAATAGCAAAAACAGTTAACTTTTGTAATCCATACTAAAATTTTGTATGTATTGATTTATTTTACTTTATCGGATCTCCTTTTTTAGAAAAAAAAAAAGTTTAAACGCTGGAGCTCAATACTTGACGTAATTGGTCTAAGCAACGGATTTAGAGACACAGAAATGATTTAAAGATGTTATGCTGGTGAAGACTGACATCTAGTGGTCAACTGGAGCAACTACATGGAAAACTTTAAAATCCAAGCTATTATTTTGAAGGGAAGATGTTTTCCTGAACTCCGTGCTTTCGTTTCCCGTCACATAACAAATCCATCATGTACCCAGAATGCATCGCTTCATTTTTCCAATAAACAGTTTTAAAATTACATTATTGATGCTTCTTTTAATGAAAAATCTACAACAAACAAAAGAAAAAGACAAAGAAGCAGCCAAACTGGCAATCCTCAACAACTTTTTAAAGAATCAGCCGAACTAGCAATCCTCAACAACTTTTTAATTTTTACACCAGGAGCCAAAGGTCTGTTTCACATCCCAGCAATCGGCAGTTGTAGAATTAAGTTGTAAAAGGGTTCATACACCCCTAGTTGTTAGTGTTGTGCATTATTGTACATGAATTGTTGCTAGCTAGTGTCAAATCGAACTTGCACTTTAAAATTAGCTTCTGCTAGTTTTTCTATAGCATAAGCGCTTTAGAAATTGTGGGGCTTATTTTTTGGTTTAGCGCTGCCCACCACTGGTGAGCTGCTGAGGACATCGACAGAACTCACGGTGTAGAGTCCAGGCTGATGCTGTTGGCCTGCGTGGAGGATGCTGACTTGTGATTGGAGGAGAAGACAGGTAGGCTGGGTGAGGCGTGGATCACATGATCAACCAGGTGGCCAACTGATGACGGGCGTATCCGTGTACCCTCCTGCACAAACAGCGAGTTCCTGACAAAAGCATACGGAGAGCTGTGAGTGCTCAACCACAACCTGACAGCAGAAAAGTAGAGGAAAGCTGACATTTTTAACTTTAATAACATTTTAGATATACTGGTGAAAAAGCATCACAACTTACTGGTTGGGTGTTCCAGGGGGTGAGCGGGTGGGTAGGCTTTGGGTTTCCAGTCGCTCGTCTGATAGGCTGTTCCTGCTAACGGACTCCCAGTCGGTCCCGCCCACCAACTTCCTAGCCAGCGGCTTGCTGGGAGACCTGCTCAAATCAAACAATCCTTAAATTATGTTCAAATTAAAGCTGCCGTTTCACTACCTCTAGATTTTACTCCTTCGCTCGCTGCTGGTTCCAGGCAATTGCCTCTACATTTCCTTTTTACCTTTGTTGGGTGTAGGCAGGAGTCTTAACTGTGTTTAAAAGCAGCACWATGGAAAGCCGCCACGTTGGAGAGGCAGGTAAAAGCCCAGCTGTGGACCTCGAAAGAGGAGCGTGGGCCATTGAACAGAGTAGAATACAGATGTGTTGGGCCTTTCTAAAGTGAGAAGRACCGTTTGTTTGTCTGCTACAGAGATTTTTTTATTTTATTTCGTTGACCCAGCCTGTGGCCGGTAGGGTTTTCACACCAACCAGTAGAGTACTTCAACAATTAATTCTTTAAAGCACCTTGTAATTTACATTAAAGAAGAACCCATCCAGAGGACCTACTTTTTCTTTTTGACTTTGTAATGCATTATTGATTCACAAAAACATAAGCTGCGTTTCCATTGCAAATGTGCACAAAACTTTGTCGATATTCTGTTAATGTCGAAAAACACAGTTTCGCAACTGCAGTGTTTCCATTAAGTAAGAAATGCTATTAAAGTCACACGTGAATACGTTTGTTTTCGTGATAATTCATTACAAAAATGGCGGCAATGGATGTAAACACATAGCATGTTGCTACCACAACACTAGCGCTCATCATCAGAGGAGACRTMGGCGTCTTTTATCTAGGCTTTCCAGCGACAAGCCGCTACTTGGGAGCGGCTACGTATGCTGTGTTTTTGGGAAATTGTAGTCGGTGAGTTTACTACTTTATTTTACTACTTCTGTGATATTACTACTACTTCTACTTCTTGTTATCTTCTTCTGCGTCGTCTTTTTCGCCAGTAGAAACAGCCRGTTGTTGATCATGTGAATCCCGAGATGCGAAAAAAGTGTTTCCATTGCAGTTTTGCGAAAAACACAAATTTCGATATGGCCAAAAAACCACCTCTTCCTAGCGCAAAAACATTTTGTCGAAATATGTAATTTTTTTCGAAATTGACGTGTTTCCATTGAGCAAATTTATTTTTGAAATTCTAATTTGCGCATTTTCATGGTCAATTTAAACGCAGCTAGTTAAACACCATTTACCATAAAGGTCCTGTCACAATATAACGTTTCAGACAACTTATGCAGACTAGTGAAAAATGTGTTATGAATAAATTGCTCATACAGGTTATATATTTGATGTAACTTACAGTAGCCTGGCTAAAAATACCCCCTTGTTCTTTGCTTTGCTTCGTACAGAGGATCTGGACTCTCAATAAATAATTTCTTGCTGGAGGCGTGGACGTTGAAGTTTAAAACGATTGGTCTCATTTACCCAAACTCTAACGTTTGGTCGTGATGTATGCAGTGTGCCAGCTCAACCGTGAAGGAAGCGAAGCCTAGAAGCTAACCGGAAACTGTGTGCGCTGTAAACAACCATCCGCAACTGGGAAGAGAGAAGTACAGAGCTGAACGAGGAGGCTGTAAATGATGCTGCAGGATTTGAGAGACAAACTTAATTGAATTTGGAAGCCTTGGTAACAAAGACTGGCTTCATTCACCTCCTCCGCTGCCATTGCTACACTACAGGTAGACGAACGGCGCAGAAAATCAACGTCATCGTTCACAACTCCTCCTTCTAGGGTTCCTACAGTTTAAGGCAAGTTAAATTTAAGACTTTTAAAGACTTTTTAATGCCAAGTGAAATTAAATTTAAGACCAATTTCACAAAAAACACAAATGACTAAAGAAATTTAAAACTGTGGTAGAAACTCATGAATGAAGTATTTTTGGTTGAATTATTCAAATATTGCTAATGGACCAATTGTTTTTATCCACATCTGACTACTATTTTGCTAAATATAGCAAAAAATAAATAAAAAATAAACATTCTTAGCAGTCAGTTTTAAACTTTATTTAATTTCTGGAAATCCTCTAACAACCCAAAATTTGGAGTTTTATGACCCACACTGGGTTCTCAACCCCGGCTTGCTGTGGATGAAACCTTAAAGTGCCTGTGACATCAAATTTTTGTAAGAAATATGAATGTATTTTTGGAAAGACAACATTATTAACATATTGGAAAACAAATTTCACATTGCTCAGATGGACAGTTGTTGAGATATTTGCATGTGAAATAACAGAAAGTGGTGTCAAAAGGGAACATCTGAATGGGAATATATCAAAAATAAATAAATGTTACCAATTATTTTAATATTTGATACAAATTAAGTCATCCTGCTTACAATGTGTTAACGTTTTTAAGACTTCTGAAGATTGATTTAAGACCTTTTAAGGCTAATTAAGGCCTTAATTTTGGGTTGATGAATTCAATGCCTTTTAAGACTTTTTAAGGATCCGCGGGAACCCTTTCTTTCTGTTCTGATTGGCCCGGTTAAAATTATACTGGAGAAATCCTCGTCTAAGGGGGGAATCCCAGACGGAGCAGTGAAGGTAAACTAGAACTGAGCGGAACTGTACAGGAAGGCAAGGGCCAGGCTAGCATTACAGTATGTTTGCGTTTAAAGCAAGCTTCAAGAAGTTTTTTTTTCTAATTTAAACAGACATCTTTAATGCTGGACTGCACAATATCACTGCAATACTTTTGTTAAACACTGCAATAAACACTTTCCTCACTTTTTCTTCCATCATCACCATCATCTAAACAAGGTGTGGGCGCCAAGGCCAGAGAAATTATGTTGAATAGACCAAATATATCATCAGAGCATGAAGTCCAAACAGTCCTTTGTGATATCGCGCTAACTATACGGCAGTGACTGTTTTTGATAAATTGCGCTGCCCTAATTTACTACACACATATCTAAAATCTTCCACTCAAAGGTGAAGATAAAAACAGTCTTTATCTCAATGTTCAGACACCTGGCAGGGGAAGAGAAATATCTGGCAGCAAGTGAACATTTGTTTTTTTTGGGAAGGATGAGTTGGAAGGGGAAAAAAATGGGCAAGCCTAAAGAGTTGGTTAGCCTTGATAAGAGTCCAGTCATGGGTAATTAGCCAATAATAAATGGGCTAATGAGTTTACAACAGATACAAGATACCAGGATTTATCCACAAAGAAACATCAGAACAAAGTGAGTCTGGTAAAGTAAAAGACRAGAGTGATCCCACGGCTACATTCAACAAACAACAACAAAAGACACAACATGTTCACTACCTGGCAAAAACTCTGTCCTTGATCCCTTTTTCCTTCCCATACTGCACAGACTGCACTTCTGTCCGCCCACTGAGAAGATAAACAACAAAAACAGCTGTTAATGACTTGATCCAGAAAACTTTCAAGGGTTTCAGTATCAGATCTTTAAAACCTAGCTGGCTTTTACCAGAGCTATTCCCCAAAAACCACAACCTGAAGTAATTTTTCTGGGAAAAATACATCTTCAATTAAACAAAATTATAAAAAAAAGAAAATGGAAAAAGCCTGCCATCGAACAAAAAAGGGTAACTTTTTTTAACACTTCCAATAACATATTAAACAACAAAGTTTTCAAAAGACTCTCCATACGAAGGTTTGTTGATATCTCAAGGGCAAAAAACAACCCTTCCTCTACACACACAACAGACACACATCATCGAGTCAAACATCAGACAAAATGTGCTCACGTTGCATCACTGCTGCTCAATAATACATCACAAGACTCGCTTCATCTCTCACGCTCACATTTTATAGAATAAGGAAACGAAAAATGTTACCAGTGAAGTGAAACAAAGTTGACAAGAAGCAAAGTTCTGATCCAGTTAGAAAAAGACATTTTATTTGATGTTTGCTGCTTTTAAGAAATGCATGTAAATAAAAAAAGGGGAACATCCATTTGGGAAAAAACAAGTTGAGAAAGGAAATAAGGCAGAACTTGACATTTACTGAAACGTACTTATTTGAGAATGGACACTAGTAATTAAAACAATTACTGTAAAATCAAAAAGAAGTCGTGTGTTTCGCAGAAAACAAGTCGTTCCAACAAAACGAGAAGCAAAAAGCACCCCTGGATTTTCTGCTTCCTTCTTCCCTTACCAGTATCTGAACTTTGAGCCCAGGCTGAAATAGTGAGCGAAGAAGTTTTTCTGGGGGGGGATGGGCCGCTCCAGCCTGAAGAAGGTGTGGTGCTCCACGCAGGCCTTCCACAGGTTCTTACAAGCCCGGTAGTTGACCATGTTGAAACCCAGCAGCGTCTCCCGAGTCTCTGCCTGCGAAACAACAACAACACAACAGTTTGTTGGATGTTGAATCAGGAGTTTTCCAAGATCTGTTCAATTCATTTGGCAAATCTTTTGTTTCAAGCAGCTGTCTGGTTTCTCCATTTTTTAGTCTGTTTTATTTGGCTAACCTGCTTTAATTACTGTATTTATTCATGTATAATACGATCTCATGTATAATACGACCCCCCCCCCCTTTTTTGAGCTGAAAAAAACATAGAAAATTTAATCCTCAAACTAACTCCAATTTCATACAGACTTCAAGATTTTTCAGCCTTTACAGTCTTTATACATATCAGTAAAATGATCATTGGACTGTTCATTTTATTTTAACAACATATGTACTAAAAGGTATTTTGACAACAAGTATATATCAGCTGTAGCAGCATCATATGAATTCTGGCATTTTACACATAGGAGGCGCCAACACAAAAGTCAGAGAC